CCTCTTAAAACCCACCAAATTTCATTTGCACATCTCGACCGGTTTCAGAGCAATAAATTAAATCGTCAGTTTTTAAGAAAAACTTTGACACCCCGTATCTCGGAAAACGAATCATTTGCGGACATACGTTTATAAGCAAACTGCCATTATTTTCTCATGTAGAATCACCCCCTGAAATTTCTCGCACTTATTTACTAACACCCTGTATATGATTGTTTAAATAAATAAATAATAATATCCAATCACCTAGAAACTTATTTTAACTTTCACATTCACAAAAATAAATTTATTAGACAAAATAATACCGAAAGTAATAAAAAATTTATAAAAATAAGAAAAAGTATCATTGGTTAAATTGGCATATCTCGGTTGATTTTAATTATACAAACTTCTACCAAGCACCATTTTAAAGGTCTTGAAACCAGCTTTCATTTGAATATGGCATTACATATACCTGAATTAACTCAGAAAAAAGTTATTAGACGAAAGTCGTCAAAAAGGGCAAAAATTGGCCTAAAATCCAAAAAGTAACCAAATTTGATCCAATGTATCTCGGTTTCTATTAGTCGTAGGTACTTCTATAAAGGCTTATTTTAAAGAAAAAAACATTAAATTTTTTTTCTGTGGAGCAATGCCTATACCTAACTCCTCTCAGAAAAAAGTTGTGGGCCAAAAACCAAATAGAAAAAAAAACGTATTTTTTCGTTTTTTTACTCGTTTTTGGGCATATTTTTGTTAAAATTAATTTTTTTTGACTTCAGAAGGTCTCATTTCGATTGGAAATTCAATTTGCTACAATTTTTCTTGTGACAACTATAGTGAAAAAAATGCATAGTTTTCGAGTAAAACACAAAAAACTGAAAATACCACCTTTTTAATTCGATCTCAAAAACGCACCCCTTTAAAAGGTAGCACTCCGCGGTTTTATCATTTTTTAGGGTCAATTGAACATATCAAACAATAAAATTTCTGTTACGTTGTAGTTCCTATCTAATGTACATAGTCAATAGCCTAAATGTACACCATCCAGGTGTGTAATCTTTGATTTTTCCTTATATTTAGATGATAAGAATAACTTCTTAAAACTTGACTTTTGACTCATTGTTATGCGCTCGAAGCTATTTATCTCAGACTAAAAATAGCCCTGTAGCCCTGAAGGAATCCCGATATTTTCCTACCAAATCCCATCTCACGCTTAGACAAATCCTTCCAATCTCTAGACTCAATTACCTTCACCCCGTAGGCGGTCTCGAACAGGCGCTATTATGTAAACATCCTGGCTTCTTTCAGGTTATCTGTCGGGATTGTATTTCCGCTTCCCACAGGGGACACGCATGCGAACCGATATCCCGCGCGGCGAGGTCCCATCTAACGAAACTAAGATTAGCCGCCGACAGGGCGAAAAGCGTCGTTGAGGAATCGGCCGTCGCGGCGAGCCGTCTCAACGTCACGTCGAAAAAGATCGAGGCGCAATGCAACAAAGTGCAGACGGAGGTGGAGAAGTTCATCGAGGACTACATCAGGTCGATGGAGGACCATAAGCTCAGTCTTCTGGAACAGATAAAGCAGGTTAATGCATTCACGCATAATTTTTCTGTTACAAGTTGATGTCGTTCTGTTACACGAAAAAATACTTAAACAGGGTGTTTCTAAAATAGGGTTTCTGCTGCGTTTATAACTCATTAAAATAAGCCAAAAAGTGTCTATTAACATGTGCCCTAAAACGCACCCTTAGGAAGTTATATGCCCTTAAAACGGCTCAAACAAAACTGTTTTTTTTCTGTTATTGACAAAACGGTTGCAAATAAATAGAAAAAAATGTATGGGTCTTACATAATTTTTTAAGTTAAATAACACGGGCTACTCCGTTTTTCGACATGCAAATCATATGCGTCCCATTTAGGTTGGTGAAGGGGGTTTTCGGCCCGTAATTTTTTTTATTTCAATTTTTTTACAATTTTCTCTACAGATTTATAAAATCTTAACAATTTTACGTAAAAAATATTATCTTTGTCCAAATCGATATTTCCAATGGTTTTCGAGTAAATTGAGTTTGAAAATTACTCTGCTCTTTAAGTTATTAGGCCAAAAATTACAAAAATCTGTTTACCATGGCAAATAAAAGACTGACGTTGCCACAACGCTTAACAATTTAAGTTATTGATAAACTGTCAATTGAGCTTTGCAGTGTTTAATTAGTAAAAGTGGTGAGTGGAAAATTTAAGTATACAACATTATTGCAACTCATAAAATGGAGTCATATTCAAACACGGAAATGGCAGATATGCACTTTATGTACGGCCGTGCGGCTGGAAATGCATCAGAAGCGAGGCGTCTGTATGCGGCAGCATACCCGAATAGAAGACTTCCTTCTCGACAGGTATTTCAGAGGATCCATCAACGTTTAAGAGAAAATGGTTCGTTCCAACCAAGAGTAAATGATCGTGGCAGAGACAGATTTGTAAGAACACCGGTGATGGAAGAAAATGTATTGAGAGCTGTGCAGGACAATCCAAGGGTTAGTGTAAGAAGTGTCGCACGTATGCATAACATAAGTTTTTCCGTAGTTTGGCGAATTCTTTGCGAACAACTACTTCATCCTTTTCATATCCAGCGTGTTCAAGCTTTAAATCCGAATGACTACGAACCACGTCGGCAGTTCTGCCAATGGTTTTTGCGAAAATCGAGGCGGATTCCGAATTTTGCATCTCTTATTTTCTCAATACATTTTCTTCCATCACCGGTGTTCTTACAAATCTGTCTCTGCCACGATCATTTACTCTTGGTTGGAACGAACCATTTTCTCTTAAACGTTGATGGATCCTCTGAAATACCTGTCGAGAAGGAAGTCTTCTATTCGGGTATGCTGCCGCATACAGACGCCTCGCTTCTGATGCATTTCCAGCCGCACGGCCGTACATAAAGTGCATATCTGCCATTTCCGTGTTTGAATATGACTCCATTTTATGAGTTGCAATAATGTTGTATACTTAAATTTTCCACTCACCACTTTTACTAATTAAACACTGCAAAGCTCAATTGACAGTTTATCAATAACTTAAATTGTTAAGCGTTGTGGCAACGTCAGTCTTTTATTTGCCATGGTAAACAGATTTTTGTAATTTTTGGCCTAATAACTTAAAGAGCAGAGTAATTTTCAAACTCAATTTACTCGAAAACCATTGGAAATATCGATTTGGACAAAGATAATATTTTTTACGTAAAATTGTTAAGATTTTATAAATCTGTAGAGAAAATTGTAAAAAAATTGAAATAAAAAAAATTACGGGCCGAAAACCCCCTTCACCAACCTAAATGGGACGCATATGATTTGCATGTCGAAAAACGGAGTAGCCCATGTTATTTAACGTAAAAAGTTATGTAAGACCCATAAATTTTTTTCTATTTATTTGCGACCGTTTTGTCAATAACAGAAAAAAAACAGTTTTGTTTGAGCCATTTTAAGGGCATATAACTTCCTAAGGGTGCGTTTTAGGGCACATTTTAATAGGAACTTTTTGGCTTATTTTAATGAGTTATAAACGCAGCAGAAGTTTGGAACCCTATTTTAGAAACATCCTGTATATTTTTTTACTTAATTCTACAAAATTACCTAGAAATATGTAAATTACTGCAACTATTTGCAATTCAAAAAAAATCCATTTAAAAATTTACCTCGCTTATAATTTTTCTGTCACTTGTATTTGTTTAGTAAAATTTTTCGTTTTTCATTTATTCAAAAAATGTTAAATAAATTTACAAAAACTTGGAAATGGCGACCTTCAACTTCATCACAAGCTTCTATACTCCGATGTATTGACTGGGGTATGTCGAATGTCTTGTGCCACAAGACGCGATGATATGATTCCGTAATTCATGCAAAATTTTAATTGGAGTCGTATAAACCAATTGTTTAAGACGGCCCCAGAGAAATGAATCGACAGAGTTTAAGTCTGGGGACCGTGGTAGCCAAGGTTGTGCTTTTCCTCTACATATCCAACGATTTGGAAATACAACATTCAAATACTGCTGAGAACCAGACCGAAATGGAGCAATGCCGTGTGTGAACAATATTTGTTGTGTTAAGAAAACAGAGACATTTGCAAGCAGTGTTGGCAAATTTACGACAAGAAAATAATGCCTCAAGTTCATATGTGATTGCTATGAAAATTTATAGATAAATTAGCCTCATCGTCATCGATAAAGAGCATTTGTGCAAAAAAATCGAGGATTATGCCCTATTCTTTCTGGCATTCATTGACACAGAACCACTGTACGCGGAAAATCATCGGTACAAGTACTTCTACAAGTTGAATATGATAGTGGTCAGTGGCGCAACCAAGGGGGGGTGGGGCACCGTTGTACGTGCCCCCCCAGACCGGCTGATTAACATATTTAGTAATCTCAGTTAAAAACAGAACATACCTATCTAAAGTTTGGAAAAAATTTGCCACTGAAAGCTGCATCAAATATTACCAGATATCAATATTTTTGCCATGGATAGATTATTTTCTATTGAACCTAAATGATCGATTTTCAAAACACAAGACGATACTCAGTAATTTTATGGTGCCGTTCCCTTGTGGAAAATCTATTACACAAAAGCAAATAGACAGCTTCCATACACTAGTCTGCTTTTATCGCCAAGATGTGCAAGAGTTGAGTACAAACATCTTGAAGGCTGAGTTACGTTTGTGATACCAGAAATTTATTAAATCTTCTCGCAGTGAGTCATCATATCCTCCTCTCATTCCAAAGAGCGCAATCGATGGCATACATTTATGCAACGCGAATTTTTATCCAAATATATACATACTACTAAAGATATTCTCAACAATACCAGTATCCACAGCTACAGCAGAGAGGACATTTTCAACACTACGACGGCTCAAATCCTATTTGAGAATATCAATGAGTGAAAATAAGTTAAATGGTCTCGCCAATTTAAATATTCACCGTCCATGTAGATCCGAAAGAAGTACTAGCTATTCTCAGTGAGAAGGGACCCAGGAGATTAGATTTAGTATTGTAATACTTATTTTGTGTTTGGTTCAGTTATTACCCCCCCCCCTCGTTTATGGTCAAAACACAAGAATATACACAACAAACAAATTATTGTGTCCCCCCCAGGATGTAATCCTGGGTGCGCCACTGACAGTGGTGCAAAAGATAATTTTTAAGAATTCTCCAAACTGTTATGTGGCTAATATTTGTGAGCAATTCCACTAGTGTTTGTTGTAAGGCTATCGGTGATTTTGTTAAGCACCTGTTCTTTAATTTCGGGAATAAGGACGTTTGATAAAACTCCCGGTTCTACTAAGACGCTGATGTAAACGACTAAACGTCGTATGATGCGGAGTAACGCAATCTGGATAATGTTCTTCATAGAGGCACCTATTTTTGTATTTTACCATTTTAAAGCCCGTAAGTGGTACTCAAAAACATTTGTTGGGGTAAATGACTTGAGAGACGCACAGTGATAACTCTTGACAGAAATGTGTTGTTTCCCCAGGCCCTTGATGAACCATTATTTAGAAAAGAGTAGCAATTTTTAATATTTATATTTTGTAAAGCATTTTTGTATTAAAAAATAGAATATTTTAATTAAAAATTTCAAAAGACAGAAAAGTTTCTAAGTGAGCCAAGTTTTTAAACGACATTTTGTAAATTGCAAATACTCCATAAAAAACTACGAAAATGGAGGAATTTGATAATCACATTTTTAGGTTAGAGAGGAAAAACTACAGAGAATCTGCCGAGAAAAAATGAAACTACAAAAGAGAATCAGAGACGCCAGGGACATAGCGTATTTCTTAGACGACTTGCTCAATGATGGAACTGACGTAGAAGTTTTAAGTTTTATCAACCCAGTGATGACAAAGATCGAGAATTGTGATAATTTTGAGAAAACAAAGGAACTGCATTGTTCCGGGACTTTACAGTTTCTGCCAGAGGAAACAGTTAAATGTCCGAATGATTTTTATACACTTTACGGAGTTCTTACTACGCAGACGGTTTCTCCGGAACATTGCCAGTTAAACGCAGATGGTGAGTATGAAATACTGAAATCTATTCTAAAAAGTTATTAACCGAATGGTAAAATAATGCTACTGTGATAACTTTCTTCAAAAGTTGAATCTTCGTTTGCATTTATGTACATTTCATCTTCATACCAACACGGATTTATGAATGGTAATTACATTACCTAAAATCTTGAAGAAAAACTCAATTTTTTTTGCTGAAGCTTTGAATACGAAATTAGATTGATGTTGTATATACCTATTTTTTTTAAAGCATATCGGCTTGATCACAATTTATTAATAATGAAATTGAAATATGATATATGGTAAGTTTCATTTCACTAACAGATATTAATTTACATTCAAGGGTTCCCCAAGGATCAGTTCGGAAGTCACGGTTGTTTGTTATTTTTATTAATGATCTTAACTGAATGCCAGTTACTCTATTCGAATGACCTTAAGTTGCTTTTGGAAGTTAAATTATCTGTTGATTGCACTAGATACTAGATTACAAGATAATCTTATAGTTGCTGTTCCTACAGTAGGTATTCTACCTCTGAGTAGTGTAGCTATTCTAGATTTTGATTATAAAATTGCTGAATATTTTTCAAATAGCATTACACAATTTACTGACCTTGTGATGATGCTAAATTATCGTTGATATATTCGTTTTACAACCAATTCCGCTTTTATAAACCTTGGTTTAATTCTAAATACTTACGGAACGTAAAGACATACCATAACTAATGACAAATACAGTCTTCAGGTAAATGCGTTGCACTTTCTCTAACTGAATATTGTAAAAATTTTAAATGGAACTCGAAACAAACGATGCATATTCTAATTTGCAACTCACAAATGCTGCGACTAATAAAAATTATTTGCAGCATTTGTAAGTGATATACTTGAAGACTATATTTTTCATTAGATATGCCGTTACTCCTCGTGTTGTTGTTTTTGTTAAAATAGTCTGTTGCAGGAGAATTATACTTATTTTACTTGCTTATTACTGTTTTATACTTATGTTCTTCTACATCTCGTTTTTGTATTTTAATTTTTATTTCATCTTGGAGTAATTATGTTTTTATATTTAACGTTACTTTTTCGCTTTTCATCTTACCCTGTAACAGGGACTTTGTTTCATTGGACATTTTATTTCTAAGTAAATATATGCATTAAATAAATATACCTATTTCTAGACATGGATATCCGCCTATTTTATTTTTGCCATATACAAATAATTGACCCAGTATACTCGTTAAATGTAGAGAATAACCAAGCTAACTTTGAGACACCTGTGTGGATCGTTTTTTATTCGATTATAAGTTGACTCTTTTTTAGATTTTAATCTATATCAGCAAGATGCTGCCAAAATTTTTTGAATCTATAATATCTTTAGGGTGGAAATTTCAATTCCCGGATTTTCTTTCTCTATTCTTGGAAAAAACTAAATTCCTGCCCTCGTGTTATTTATGTTTAAATAGTTTTCGGGAGTTCCGTTCATCATCCTGACACAAGCAAAACAAGGAGAACGTTTCCAGAGCGGTAAAAAAAACAAAATTAGTTTCACATAAAGGACCATCTATCTCACGATTTTTTGTCGCATGCCCAGACAATCATGGGAGGAATATTTGATAGCTCTAAATCTCCAGAGACCGAGCGTTACAACGTTCTGGTACAGAGATGCATAAATTTCAAGCTCCAGCCAAATCGTCCGTCACAAAACACGCCCCTGCGTGTTTTCTGAAAATAAACACGATCTCGTAGACGCGTTTTTGTTCTGGGTGGTGAACGGTGATTTATAAACGTGCTAATTATTATTTTACAAGGCAGTACTGGTCGTAACAACGCTTTATTTATACGAGTTTGCAATCAGTGGACGAAGGACCTATTCTTAAAATCAACCTCTATAAATACATCTGCATAACGTCAAGGAATTTGTAACTGTGGGTTCACATACCTTGAATTTGTTTTTTTTTGTCTAATGTATATTATCAAATTTTAATGATGTGCACTGGAATTCTTTTACTATCCCTCTTCTTGGATGTAAGAGGGGCAAGCTAATTTTTGCTGCAATACCTTTAGTACAACTCACATAATAAAAGTGTAGATCCCTAGATCTGGGCGAGGTCCGGAACATTTTCAAAATTACAAAAATGTTTAAAAAACTTAAAAAATACCTATTTTATCTGAGTTTTTTACTTATATCTTGGAACTTATGCATTTTAGAAGAATATTGAAGAGAAAAACAGTTTTAGAATTGAATTTTGCCCAATATACTGCAAGTTAAAAATGTTTAAATTTATTACCGATGCTGCAAAATAGCAATAATTGATGAAAAAAAGGTAAAAATATCAAGTTTTTTGGATAATTTCTTTAAAATCGATAGTTTAAATAATTTTCGAATTTTCAAAATTTTGTACAGGCCAACCATTCAAATGGTTTTTTAAAAATTGAAATCGGTTGACTAGGACGGCCGCAATAAATTTTTAAAGTTAATACTCTTTTTTTTATTTTTAAACAATTAAAATTTAAACAGTTTTCGTGTTTTGAGTAACTTTTCGTGCGTGCGAGCGACAGCTTTTCCGTTGATTTATCCATGTTGCCGATAACTTTAAAAATTTTCGGCAATAAATTTAAACATTTTTAACTTACAGTATATTGTGCAAAATTCAATTCTAAAACTTTTTTCCTCTTCAATGTTCTTCCATAATGCATAGGTTCCAAGATGTAAGTAAAAAACTCAGATAAAATAGGGATTTTTAAGATTTTTGCAATTTTGAAAATGTTCCGGACATCGTCCAGATCTAGGGATCTACACTTTTATTATGTGAGTTGTAGTGAAGATAATCCAGAAAAAAATTGCTTGCCCTCTCTCCCATCCACCTCAAAACAGATCTATGCAATATATTTAAATTTTTCATGGAACTTTCGAATAGTATCCAAATCAAGCAAGATGCTTGCATTGATGCTGTTAAATATCAGCTATTTCAACAATATTACATTTTTAATTCAGAGCTTGATTCTTAAGCATTTTTAAGTAGGAAAGTCAAACTGTACATCCTAAGTTGAGAAAATTGTATCAATTAACATATTGAAGAACATTACTTTTTTGTCCAAATTCATTTGAAGATTTACTTAGAGACAGTAAATATTCAATAGTCTACCTCTATATTTCTTAAGCTTTTCTTCAAAATCAGTATATGTTATTGGATCAAGTCATATAAAATGAAAAGTTAAAAATTTATTCGGATAAAGTTTCATTTTTTTCTTTCAGGAGATTGTAGAAATGATCTATAACTGTTGTGTGGCGCATATAAAATTTATTATTTAGATATCTTTTATATATTTCTTTTGTTATTGGGATTTATAATAAACACCTACACAGAGGTCACCATCCGTTCTGGAACAATGTCTCCAAATAGTCCCCTGCTGGTTGATATAACTGTATACAAATATAACCATAAGCTTCATTATTTTCCGTCAAACAGCTCTTGAGATATTTGCATATTGATATTTGTCAAAAATTTTAGAATCCTATCCTATATCTTGAAAACTATGCTATTTAAGACTCACTCATAATGTTCATAGGACATTTTTAATACCAATGCTTTTATTATTGGAAAATATCTATAATTGAAAGAATTAGTCAATGTATTTTCAGTCATACAGGATGTTTACTAAAGAATGGGCCATACTTTAAGGTTAGCTTCCTTGGATGAAAACAAGGTGATTTAAATAAAGTACCATATTGCTTCCTTAAGAAATTATAGTCCCGAGAAGGTGGTTTTGTTTTTCACTTTTTTACGATATATCTGTGTAACTTCTTGCCACAGCGCATGCACTAAAACCTTGTTGGACATGAACTGATATCATATCGGTCATTTCACTAATGCCTTTATGTAAAACTTCCACTAGATTTGATACTATAAGGACAGCTATCTACTAGATTAATAGTTTTAAATTGAGAAATTGTAGAGTATTCCATACATTTGCAGCAATAACTTTAAATGTTATTTTCTCTAAAACAGTTCATTTCAGCAACATGCAACAAGGATACTTTTTTGAAAGCAAGTCGAATACTGTTTTAAAATAACTAATAATTTTCCAAAAATATCGACCCAAAAAATCTGACTTAAACTATGGCCCATTGTTTAGTAAACACCTTGTAGAATAGGAGAAAGTAACAAGTTTGCTATAAACAGCAGTATTCCAGTAAGACATAAACATGTATCATTTTGTTTCTTTGTCCGTACATAAATAAGATAATAAGATAGCATTAAAAGCTTTGGTATTAATAGAAAATATGATGAAATTGACATTTTCATAGTGGCTGGTATAAATTTAGGAGTATTAGACAAGATTTATATTTCACTTCCCGAAGTCTGTAACGTTTTAAGCTCATCCTTCCTCTCTCTCTTGTTTTTACTGTACGTTTTGGCAACGACAATTTCAACAGAATCAATGGAAGATATTTTCTATTTTATTTTAAGTTTTAATGTATGTACAATTCGTGGACTATACAAAAAAAACGATGCTACGTTAACTTCGCTCTACCTACTATACCTTTACTCTACAAGTGCGAATTCTATTCTCCTGTTTTCTTAAAGAGACTTAATTGTATTTGTATTTGTAGTAAGTTTATGAATAGGTATGAGATAGTATGTTTCTACTAAAAAAAATCCGAGAATAGTAAAGTCACAGCTTATTATTAAGCTGTGGTAAAGTATTTAGTCCAATTAATTAATGAGATACGAATTATCAAAAACATATGATCTAATTGTTAAAATAGGTACTGGGTTTGCCATGTTTAATTATTTCCTGAAAATATAGAAAGACGAACTATATTTTCGAGAAAATTTGAATGGAGAGAACATCTCGATATCTTCAATTCTTTAAGAGGTACAAGTCATTTTATTATGCCCTGTAGTTTCTTGTTTATGAAAATATTTTATTTTCGTAAAAAGTTGTTTTTCCATTCAACTTTACTCGAAAACCGAGTCCGTGACATTTAAATTATTTTTTTCTATATTTGCGGGAAAAATGTTGAATTACTTTGATTGCAAATAGATAATCCAATCATCAAATTTTCCAACATTAAAAAATGTCATAAATAATGCCCTTTCACATCTATAATTAAAATTATACAGGGGATTTATACGATGATAACATTTTTGGGACCGCTGACTCTACCGACAGCTCTGCCTCAATTTATGCATGTCTATCTGGAAGTCGTTCGGCATAACATGTGCAGTTAAATAGCAGTTTTCATCAACGTTTCCACACGTTATTTCCATGCTTATTAATCATTTTACTGACGGGCTATTTTAGTGTGCTGATTTAATTAATTTTAATACTTTTATGCGGACATATTAATACGCACACCACCAGCAAACTGTCTCTTCACAAAAAAAAGAACATAGTTAAGATAAGAATCTAAAGAATAATTGAGTTTGGCCATTTATCCACTAATAATTTTCACAATAAAAGTTGTTGTAATGTCTTTCTGTAATGAAAACTAAAGTAGAGCTGATGATTACTTAAAAGTGAATTACAAATACAAAAAAAAAGAACAAGGAAGTGGATGACACGCCATTTACAGCTACAAATATTCGCATCTTTTTATGTAGATGTAAATGGGGGACGTTCCCAGAGGTTCTCAATAAGTTTTAACAATTTTTATTATTATTGATTTTAAGTGCCGCTTTGCATATTTTGATTATTTTGATTATAGAAAATGAATATTATTAATGTATTCTATCTACCATCTAAATTCCTGTCCAAGTTTGTAAACAACCTGTATTTGTTTTATATTTATCAGGTATAATTTTTCTAGGTTTACAAAATTTACGAGTGGGTAGAAAGGTTGAGGTGCTGCTGGAGACTAGGGACCACAACGACACCTCCATCGAGCGAGGTGGAGAGCTTGTGGCAGCGGAAATTCGTCACCGGGATGCTGGCGTGTCAAAACCGCTGGTAGTTAACGTGCAAGACAGAAGAGACGGGACTTACGGAATCACATTTGTTCCAGATGTTGCGGGGAAATTAGTTCTAAATGTCTGCGTTAAAGGCCAGCCCATTAACGTGAGTTTGATGGATGGCATAATTTTTGTACATTTTTGGAATATGTACGATACCACCAAAATGTAAACATTTACTGAAAGAATATGAATATACAGGGTGGGCCATTAGTGTGAGAACGAAAAATAACTCCTTTGCTATTCATAATACAGAAAAAGGTTTATATAAAAGTTGTACAGAATCAAAAAACCTTAAGGACAAAATTAATTTGAAACATACAGGGCGATGAGTAAAAACGGGACACGCCAAATATTACATTTTTTAAATGGAACGCCCTATATATTTTTAAACATATGGATTTGTAAGAAAATTCTATATATGGCAATATAAACAGTTTCACATTTTAGAACGGGGTTGCCAAGTTATGTAGAAAATTCTTCGAATTTTGGAAAAACATGACCTCGAAGAAATTGTATTAACTTTCAACTACTAACACTTGGAGCAAAGATATTTGAGTTATAGGCAAATGTTAGGCAAAGATTCCTATATTAGCTAATATTGAAATTTTATACTGGCCATTTTTTACAATACGATCATTTTAAGAAAGTTCAAACTTGATTTTCTAAAATTTTTCAAATGGAACACCTTGTATATGAATCTTTATTCTTTTTTAATGGTATTTAGCTGATGTAATCAAATTCAACGAAATTTTTTCTAAATAATCTTATAAAATTATGTCAAACTAAGGAATACATAAACATTGAATTTTTAGAAAAAAATGACGTTTTATCTATAATGTATAACTACCTGATGAAACAATCACGAGGGAATGATGGAACAAAGAGACCTTTTTGTAGTAGTTGTTTTTTATGTGTTCATATTGGTTAAAGGTTAATTAAACAAAAAACAAAGCTACAAAATATTTCTTTGAATGTAAGTTAGTGTTACTGTTAAGGTCTTACATTTGAAATAGTTCTTCAAATTACACAGAAGGGCGTTAGGCCATAAAACTCATATCCACCTTCTCATTTTATCCATAGGGTCATACAGGGAGATGTAACATGGCCTCTTTTTGAAAATGTTTTTCTCATACATGGATCTTTTCAGGAAAACTTTAGAATTATCTATCGCTTTACACAACAAATGTCTTTCGTTAATTTAAATTGCCGGATTTCGAGTAAAAAGTAAAGATTCCGTTTGCTGCTCAAAAAAGGGATTTGAGATACTAAATTGACAGTATTTGGAAAAAGAAAGATTTTAGCAACTATGTATGAATTTTTTTGTTCCTTTAAAGATATGAATCGATTGTTGCAAAATATCTTTCTTCTATCGGTAAATGAGTTCACTCAGTGGCAGAAATTGAAAGGATCCCAAAAGATCCTTAATCTGTTTTAGAAGTACAAAAAAGTATTTATAAACAGAATTATTGTTAAAATATAATTTAGTAGTTTAAATCTTTCTGTATAAATGGTAAAGAGATACAAAAACAATTGATTACTGGAAGGTGGAAATGCAGTCCATCTGAAAGATCGTTAAATTTTGAGTAATTTTTGTAATATATGTTTTTCCCAATATTTACTTGTTTTCGAGACATGTTGACTTCAATATATATATACCAAAAAAAAACTCCAACTTAATCGTCAAGATTAACCGTATCATTTCAATATATACCTATATATATATGATGTAACAGGAAAATCTATTATTTTATACCTCACCAATACCACTAATAAATTAGAGGTTTCCGGGAAGGTGGTTAGGTACTAACGGAGTTATAAGGTGGCCGGCTCGTTCACTAGATTTGACCCCATTGGATTTTTTCCTACAAGGTCATTTCAAAACAATGTAGGTATATCAAGACCTTATAGAAGACATGATGGATTTTTATAATACAATTTATGCATTTACGGCGGCTTTAGATCGATACATTTTATTAAAAGCATGTAATATCGAACTAACGAGAATACTAACTTTGTGTATTAATGCCGAAGGACGTAATTTTGAACATTTATCTTTGTTTTAACTTACTTCAGTAACTACATCTACATATCCTTTATTATTTTAAATATTTTCTGTTACTTTTTCTGTAGTTGATCAATCATTTTCATTTCCACGTTCCGCATTTCCACGTTCAAGGAATTTAAAAAATTTTAGTACCGCAACACCATCTATACAGAAAGATTTGAACTATAGTCTGTTTAGAAATGAAAGAGAGTAATAAAAGCTCATTATGTATGCAAATCGTAAATAAATGTAGTACTGGTGCTTATATTCAATATTTTTATATTATGTATTATTGGTATAGGATGAGGTGTACTTTTAAAAAAACTTTGTGCGATCGGACTGTACTAAATTGTAGCAGGTAGCTAAAATTTAATCCCCGACAATCCGTCTTTGTCTATGCCGCTTCAATTTCTCGGTCCATTTCTCTTATAAGTAAACAATATAAAAACAGCATTTCAAAACATGAGGCTACTTTAAGCATCATAACCGGGTTAAGAGGGTTTTTAGTAATTCAAATAAAATTATTCAATATTATTATCAAAATATTTATTTAAATTTAATGAATAGACTTTTATTCCACACAAAAATATATGTATTTTGAAAATTCAAATTATGGTGAGTAAATGTAGTGTTGTATAAATGTACAATAAAGAAAATAAAAAAGTAGGTATATTAAAATTCATCCTCTGAATATTCTGATGAATTATCTTCGTCTCCTAGATTGATAACGATAGGTTCCACAGTAACGTCAATTAAATTATCGAGTTCCCACATTTTCTCCTCTTCTTTTTGTACATGATGTATACATCTTTGCCAGTTATCTGCAGTTACTCGTTCCAAGGAATTTTTTAACAAAATTTTCACGTCACTTAATTTAAACGTCGTATTATTTCGCGCTACATCTCCTTTTACCTGCGCCCAGACTAATTCGATTGGGTTAAGTTCACAGTGATAAGGTGGTAACCGTAGTACCGTTATTTGGCGATTTGTTGCCATTTCATCGATAACATATTTTTTCTGATCTTTATTAAGATTGACAAGTGTCAAAAGTTCCTTTTTCACCATATTTGTTTCAAAAGAAATGTTTTTTCCGGATAACCATTGAATTATATCGGCTTTCCTCCAAGCAGTCGTAGGCGTCCGCTCGGTCTGCCGTGAATGGTAACTGGCATTATCCATGACAATTACAGACCCCGGAGGAATAAGATCCAACATCTGTGTAAAATACTCTTCGAAAACATCTGCGTTCATGTCTTCGTGATAGTCACCTGTATTTTTAGATTCAAATAAAAGTAAACCGCCATCTACAAAACCACTGGCACTACCTATATGTGTCACTATTAATCTTCGCCCTTTACCTGAAGGTGCCTTGAACCCTGTTGAAAGTCCATCCAAAAATGCTTGTCGAAAACTTTTTACATTTTTATCTTGCCATACTTTTGTTACAGTATATCCCTCGTTGACCCAAGTTTCGTCTAGATAATAAATATTCCTCCCTTCGTCACGGAATTTTCTAATTGATCTTAAGTAGGATCTTCGCCAACAAATAATTTCATCTTTATCGATAAGAACTGACTTCCTGTTCTGCTTTTCCCAGCAAAAATTCAACTCTCGTAAGACGGCCCATAATTTGCTTCTACTGATTTTTGGCAAATCGTTGTCCTCTGAAAGTTCACTTAAAATTTTGTTTAGCGTTGGTATTTCTTTTTTAAAATAAAATGAGTGTACTTTTCTGCGAATGACATTTTTGAAGAAATCATCTATAACGACTTTTGACCTCCCTGTAGATGATTTTGGGGGATTTACAGTATCTTGTTCATTTTTTGTTTCCTTTAAAAGTCTGTAGATAGTCGATTTTCCAATCCCTGTCATTTTTGTTAGCATTAGTGTTACCCGATAATTACCTGAAACGAAATATTACCACGCCCATGGCCGGTTCTTATCTCGGGGTTTTATTACTCTCTTTCATTTCCAAACAGACTATAGCAATTCTAACTGCAATTTAAAGCTATTCGAGGGATCTAACAACCCCAGTTTCTGGAACTAAAATAAATTTCTCCATTTCGGAGATATTGGCAGCGGGAGTGTTAAATGGCATACTTTGTTCTTCAATAGTTGTAGTTACACATGTTTCATAATTATGGAGGTCAATATTTCAACTGGTCTTAAGATTTTGGATTTGCATGTGACAAATAGTAAATAACTGCCGCTGTATGGGAACAACAGCCCCCGGTTCTATTTCCATTTGCACAATTACACACGTCTTTGAATACCCTTAAGTACAGCTACTCATTATCTTCAATAAGTTTGATGGATTTTCCAGAATTCACTGAAAATGATCCCAAAATATTATTTACGGTCACTTACCAATTATCACAAGCAATATGTTATCTTGCGGAAATAATGACTGATGGAAGTCTAAACCTTGAATACTTGAAAGAATGCGAAAATATTATAAGAGTGAGGGTGCGATCAAGACATATTAATAAAAAACATAATATAACTGCTATATTGAGTGTAAACCAAACCTGAATTTATAGTTTAAGGACATTTTCCCATTTTTATTTGAGAGAAACAACTACATTTCACTGATTCCGTATTTTTTTTCAGGGTAGCCCATTCCCAATAAACGTCCGAACCATAAAACCCCATCACGGTACCTTCCATTGCTGCTGCTTCTGTTCCAGCGGGGGTAGTAAGGAAGCTACCTGTGGCTGCGAGGGGAAAATGCCTGGTGGATACAAAGGATGCGGGCACGGACACGAAGGACATCCCGGAAGGAGGCATTGGTCCTGTTGCGGGAACATATTGGAACATTCGGAATGTGTTAGATCCAATTCACAGTATCAATTTACATTGTAATTGAATGTATTTATTTTTATTACTTAATAAACAGATCTATATCACTGTGTGTATTTAACAGGTATTCTAGGGGATATTTTCAGATGTTTAGTAATAATAAACCAATATGACAATCAACGTTGATGTAAATGCAAAATATCATTTGCATTGCAAAACTGATAAACGTACTTCAAATTCCTATGAACATATGAAATTTTGTGGGTTGGATTCCACCATAGACCTTATAAACTACTGGACTCGCCCAACTGTCATTTTGCATATATAAACGGCAATCGCACAGACGTGTGCGGGAGAGATAGAGCTAGTGCGGGCATATGCTTCGTTCACATAACTTCGACTGCAGCGCGGAGAATGTTGATAACCAACTCCTGCCAGAAAAGTCCAAACATTTTTACATAAAAGCATACACAGTTTTTAAAGATTGGTGTCTTACAAAAAACGTCGTCAATACCTCAGAAAATGTCCTACTAGCATACTTTAAAGAGTACGAGGATAATAAAAAGGCATCCAATCTATGGTGTATTTTTCAATGTTAAAGGCAACCCTAAAATTAAAAGAAAATATTGACGTTTAAAGATGATGAAAATGATGTGGATGTTCGAAGCGATATAATTATAATAAAAATACCTACCAGTAAGAATGGTTCAGCCAGAAAATTTGTCGTGATGAAACCCCTGTGGATTGAGGTGGTAAAAAAGTACTTGGGGAAAAGGCCCACACCAGATTTACAATTATTTATTGGCTTCCGAAATGGGGTGCCAACACGGCAAAATATGGGGCACAGCACAATTAGCAATATGTCTAAAGTGATCGCAAAGTTCTTGAAACTCCAAAATTATGAGAATTACACCGGTCATGCCCTTCGCAGAACATCAGCTACCATATTGGCTGAAAATGAGGGTGATATATTGTCCTTAAAGTGTCACGGTGGGTGGCGATCTTCAGGGGTAGCAGAAGGATACATTGAAGAATCAATAGCCGATAAGAGACACATTGCCGGAAAATTACTAGTGCCAAGCACTTCGTTTTCTCCAAGACACTCCGTGCCCGGAAATCAAGCTGATAATGTGTCAAATATTTGCAGATTATTCAAAATCTATTGGGCTAATCGTACATAGGAAGTATAATTGTCCGCGTGTTACCACTTGTGTAAACTTGCTATTTTTTTATATATTTTTTGAAGTGCTGTTTGTATAGTTTTATTAAAATTTGAAAAGATGAGCTCTCGAATGTATCCACAGAATCCACCATCCACAGAATACGGCATTTGTTTACGTGTGACAAATATCTGTCGGCATTCTCGATCATTGGCACTATGCTGCATTAGTTTATATTTGACAAATACTTGTTTGGAAAGTTACCGCAGCTGGTACAGGTTTAAAATCGGAATTCCTAATTACCTACTAAACTGCTGTAATGAGAAAGACATCAATATTCTTATGTAAAAAAATAGAGATACGGATGGTAATTTTACGAGAAATGTAAAACGTAATGACAAAATTATAACTTAAAGAAGTTCTGATTAACATAGCCCTTAACATAAATTTTCCATAAATTTGGCTCATTCTCGTATTATAATTCAGTAAACAAAATTGTNGATACAGGATGTTAAATTTGTTAAAAAAATTGATTTTTTGTTTATATCAGGAATATATTAATCGATCTCAATAAAATTTGGTACAGATAATCTATGATAGTAGGCCTTGCATTCCCATGAGCTCTAAAGGTAAAGCCAGTGGTGTACAACTGGTCAGGGGTCACCTGCTTTTTTATAAACAAAACCTACACCACTGCATTTTTTACAAGTTATCGTAATGGATTAATATTCTAATGCACAAAATACGTAAAAACGGTAACTTGAATTTTTTTCCTAAGATTCGCCGTTTTCAAGTTATTCATACCAATACAATCCCCTTGTGCAGACATTTCTAGAAATTTGGTGTAATTATAATAGTCTGAATTTAAATGCAAATAAATGTAAAATAGTAACCTACACTCGTAAATGTAACCCCGTTATCTACGATTATGTTTTGAANTCATTCTCGTATTATAATTCAGTAAACAAAATTGTTTTTTTTCTGAAATCGTTGGCAAATGAGTATTCCTCCACATATCCTTCGGCATCGTTTGAGGATTTCCATCCCGCATCTCTGGTTAATAGCAGCAGAGGGTCGATTAAAACGGATTTAACTGAAAAAACGTTGAGTACGCATTAATAAAAATTTGATAGTTCATATTAATTAATTAATATTGTTTGCGATTTCAGAAAAAATAGTATGTGTATTAGTCGTTACGATATCAGTTGGAACCGCATAAAAACAATTAACTCATAAATTTGACGGAATCCATAGGTGTCCAGAAAAATTTAGCTATTTGTAAATTCCTGGGATAGATTTCTTATTAAATAAGTGTCATACCTAACGTTTATAATATTATATTAATGAGACAGTATTTAAGTAGAAAAAAATTAGATTTATTACCTTTTATTTGTTCATTTACCCAATTACATATTTGAAATATTTATTTTACCAATTTTAGATTGAAGTACTAAAAGTACTTACATTTTTTTGAATTAGTTTTAAGTTAACCCATTTTATAATGAAATATGTTATTGCTCAACAAGGACCAACGAGAAGGTCATATGTATTTAAAATAATGCGTTGACTTTGTACGTGTAAATCTTTGTTTTTAAACTCAGAGTTTGTTTCGACGCTTTCGACAAAAACCGGCACTACTATTTGGGGATTTTCCCGGGTTATTTCGTTATCTTCCGTTTCAAAGGGTTTCCATGCTGAATTACTAGATAATTACATATAATATTTATTTTAATAACTATTACCCTTTACTGGTTACGATATGAATAAATAATATTTGATTAGGTAGAATACACACTTTCACTACGGGTCGGTTTATCTCACCAGAAACAGTTTTAATGGTCACAGATCTTATAATGCCGTCTTGCCCGGGATGAGTTTTCACAATTCTGCCTAATTTCCATTTGAGTGGTGGAAGCCCNGCCCTTAACATAAATTTTCCATAAATTTGGCTCATTCTCGTATTATAATTCAGTAAACAAAATTGTTTTTTTCTGAAATCGTTGGCAAATCAGTATTCCTCCACATATCCTTCGGCATCGTTTGAAGATTTCCATCCCTCATCTCTGATTAATAGTAGCAGAGGGTCGATTAAAACGGATTTAACTGAAAAAACGTTAAGTATGCATTAATAAAAAATTTGCCAGTTCATATTAATTAATTAATATTGTTTGCGATTTCAGAAAAAATAGTATGTATTGCGTATTAGTCGTTACGATATCAGTTGGAACCGCATAAAAACAATTAACTCATACATTTGACGGAATCCATAGGTGTCCAGAAAAATTTAGCTATTTGTAAATTCCTGGTATAGATTTCTTGATTTCTTATTAAATAAGTGTCATACCTAACGTTTCTAATGTTATATTAATGAGACAGTATTTAAGTAGAAAAAAATTAGATTTATTACCTTTTATTTGTTCATTTAGCCAATAACATATTTGAAATATTTATTTTACCAATTTTTAGATTGAAGTACTAAAAGTACTTAAATTTTTTTGAATTAGTTTTAAGTTAACCTATTTTATAATGAAATATGTTATTGCTCAGCAAGGACCAACGAGGAGGTCATATGTATTTAAAATAATTCGTTTACTTTGTATGTGTAAATCTTTGTTTTTAAACTCCGAGTTTGTTTCGACGCTTTCGACAAAAACCGGCTCTACTATTTGGGGATTTTCCCGGGTTATTTCGTTATCTTCCGTTTCAAAGGGTCTGCAGAAAGCCATGCTGAATTACTAGATAATTACATATAATATTTATTTTAATAACTATTACTCTTTACTGGTTACGATATGAATAAATAATATTTGATTAGGTAGAACACACACTTTCATTACGGGTCGGTTTATCTCACCAGAAACAGTTTTAATGGTCACAGATCTTATGATGCCGTCTTGCCCGGGATGAGTTTTCACAATTCTGCCTAATTTCCATTTGAGTGGTGGAAGCTCGTCTTTTTTTACCAATACCAAAGGATCAGGTCTGATTAATTGTTGTGCATTTTCTTTCTATTTAACACGCTGTTGTAATTGTGAAACATACTCTTTACTCCACCTTGACCAAAAGTGTTGCAATAGCTGCTGCAAGCTGGATAGTCGATTTTTCTTAACATTGGAAAATGAATGATCTGATGGTATGGTGGTTAAAGGTTTTCCGATCAACAGGTGCCAACTCCATTTCAAAGACAAGCAAAAATTTTAATCAAGAATACCTTTTCCTCGTAAAATGAAAAATAAAATGTATACAGGGAGGCCCGAATTTTATGCAGGAAACTTCGAGGACAGACAAATCTCTTTAAAATAATATGTGTTTGCTTTATAAACATAGGTCTGGAACGGCTCCGTTTTAGAGATACAGGATGTTAAATTTGTTAAAAAAATTGATTTTTTGTTTATATCAGGAATATATTAATCGATCTCAATAAAATTTGGTACAGATAATCTATGATAGTAGGCCTTGCATTCCCATGAGCTCTAAAGGTAAAGCCAGTGGTGTACAACTGGTCAGGGATCATCTGCTTTTTTTTAAAAAAAAAACCTACACCACTGCATTTTATTTCTAATGCACAAAATACGTAAAAAAGGTAACTTGAATTTTTTTCCTAAGATTCGCCGTTTTCAATTTATTCATACCTATACAATCCCCTTGTGCAGACATTTCTAACCATAATATTACTATATTTGTTTATGCTTAAAAGTAAGTGGAATTTGTAAGCACATCAACAACATTTTTTACACTCGTTTCCACACCATCTGTCATGTAGAGATCCTTACGCGTTTTACATTGTCTGCACCAAATTTGATTGAGATCGGTTAATATATTCCGGAGATAAAAACAAAAAATACATTTTTTTCAACACCCCGTATCTCCAAAACGGGGCTGTTCCAGACCAATGTTTATAAGGCAAACACATGTTATTTTAAAGAG